GTGAGCAGCAGGCAGCGCAGCTCCCGGTGCTTGTCATCACCGCCGAATCGAACCCTGCACCTTTCCCTCCTCCAGGAAACGGAGATGTAAGATAGGCGATCGATCTCTACGGTGTCTTGCACAGTCCATGCGTGGCCTTCACCTCCTGAGGACGGCCACTCTTCACTCAGCGCGCACCGCATGCCTGTTAGGTCCTTGGGGCTGGAGAGGGGGTGACGAAGGTGGCCGCTGCCCCCCGGAGCTGACCATCCCTGCAAAAGGTACCCGCTCAGATGGAGAAGTGGACGTTGTGATGTAAAGCAAAAGTACAGGCTGCTGCGAAAGGGCCCGGGCTAGAGCGTGAGGGGCTTACAGAAAGTGACATCTGCCTGTGATGTGAAAGGTCGCGCTGGGCCAGGAGTCGGACAGCTCCGGATTCCAGGATCCCTGTTAGCGCCTTTACGTGACACCATCCCCGCCGGCCATGCAGCGGCCTATGGGCTATCACCCTGGGAATCTGGTTCCTTCTCTTTCACTTCATTGCCTTCCTGATAAGGCAGCCCTCTGGCCTTATCTGAGCTCTGCTCATTTCTTGTACATACAAGGAAACTACTAGTATCTTGTAAATATTGTCATTGCGTGATAAGCCTCAGGACACTGTAGTCCCTCCTGACCCACAGTTTCGCTTTCCAGGGTTCCCATTACCCGCGGTTAACCGCTGTCTGAAAATATTACATGGAATGTTCCAGAAATAAACCATTCATAAGTTTTAGATTGCATGCCATTCCGAGTAGGGTGGTGAGATCTTGCTCCATCCCGCCTGAGAGGTGAATCCTCCTATTGTCCAGGATCCAGGCCATAGATCTACCCACCTTAGCCCCTTAGTAATCATGTAGGTTCTCAGATCCACCGTGAGGTAGCTCAGCGCTTTCGTTCCAGGGGCCATTGTTTTACTTAATAGCATCTCATTCACCCCACTTCATCTCATCACCTGGGCAGTGTCATCTCACGGCCTCACAAGAAGGAGGAGCACAGTGCTATAAGATACCTTGCGAGAGAGACCACATTCGCATACTTTTATTATAGTATATTGTTACAATTGTTCCACTTATTATGGTTGTTAGTCTCTTTATTGTGCCTAATCTATAAATTAAACTTTCTCGTAGGTATGTGTGTATAGCAAAAAACAATATACAGGGTTCGGTACTATCCGCGGTTTCAGACATCCGCCGGGGGTCTTGGAAGGTGTCCCTTGTGGATAAGAGGGGACTGCTGTCCACTGACGCTCTGACATTGGCTGTTAAGATAAGTTCACTCTGGACTTTTGTCACTGGGCTGCCTGTTGCTGCTTCTTAATCCCCCCTTAGGTCTCGGACAGGAGTTCATAGTGATGGTGGGAACAGTCTGATGCAGAAGAAGGGGCCTGGGCTCTGTAAAGACTGGGTTCAGTGAGGAGACTGCAGGCTCTGTAATATGTTAGCCCTGGAGGAAGTGGGCGGCTGAGAACGGGACGGGGGTGGAGGGAAAGGTCCTGGAGGACCAGGGCACTTGGTGAGGGAGGGTGTGAGGGATGAGGTGGGGAGGATGGAAATGGCACGGGGTGGAGTTACAGGAGCGGGAGGTAGGGTGATTACATCGCCCTGACGGAGGAAACGGGAAAGGGTCGGCCTGGACAGGGAGCGTGTTGTGAGGGTGATTGATGAAACTCCCGGGTGCAGCAGAGCACCTGCGTGGGAACAGAGCATGGGGGGCGGTGCTTGCTGGGACCTCTGTGTTCAGAGTGTCCTGGGGTAAACAGTAGCTCTCATCTCAAGGATCTTCTGTGAGAGTAAATCCACGGCTGGGGAAGAGTGGGCGAGTTTGCGATTTGAGGGATAACTTGACGGGGTGAGGGCGCACGGAGGAGCAGTGTCAGTGCATCGCATTGATGGTGACGTTGTGCTGTGTGCGCTGGCGTGGCTATGCCCCGGCGTTGCCAGTGGGTCTCTCCAGCTGCTTAATGAATTGGCGATGGGTGAGTGGATAGATGGGCTAAGATCTAGGGAAAGGAGGACAGGGACGTGACCTTTGGGTTAGGCTCATCGCAGTCGCTGGCTGGCTAAGAGCTCTTCAGAGGAGAGGATGGAGGATGGC